ATTGATTTATAGTCCATTTTAATCGATTATAATCCATTTTTATTCAAAAAACGTCATCGCTTCATTTCGTTTTATTTTTGCTTTATTTTGTGTGCTTTTCAGTTGGTTTCTTTTCTTACTGTTTACTGTTTTCTTTCTTACTGTTTACTGCAAGGAAAGATTGGGGGGGGGGGGGGGGCGGACGCCTGTTTTTAGGGATTCGACCCCCTGCCTACCCAAAGGGTTCCCCTTTTGTATTGTTTTGAGATATCCATATTTGGTGACGGACCCTTTGAGATTATAAGAGATTTTCGGAAAAATTATAACCAATAATATTTCATTTTAATGGAATATAATTCGTTTAAACATCTAAAATTGGTGCTCATAATAAACTATATTTTTGCTAAAAGTACCATTATAATTATAATATAATCGATTATTTTCTCTTTTTACCGAGTGCGGGTTGCTATTTTGGCTAAATTGGGACAATTAACGCGCGATACATTTCGCGCTATTAACGCGTAAGCGGAGATTAAATCCGTCCTAGAAATCTTTCAAGTTTAGTTCAAGGAAGCTTATATGCCATAACTGGTTTGTTAATAGGAGCGAAATCTATCACTTTGTACTTTAAATGGCGTGTGGGGTGATAATTTTCTCAAAAGTTTCACAAAAGTTTACACTGAAGTTTACAAAAATTCGTTTTCTTTTTTCAATTATTTTTTTTTGATGTTATTACTACTCCATAGACCTTAAAGGCAGTCGGAACATTCAGAGCTTTGCCCTGATACCAGCAGTCTTGTTTCATTTTTTAGCCAAAGCCTGTTGTTATATTTTTGACTTCGAATGCATAAAAAACTTCGAATCTAAATGTTCATATCCAGCCATAACTTTTACTCTCGTCATAGCGGTAGGAAAAAGATAAGCAAATGATAGGTAAAGTGCTGGATTTCCAATGCTTAGTTCAAAAGATAAACTAATAAAATTTTTATTAAAAATATCAATTTTTTTGCAAATCAATGAGTTTTTTTCAAGATTTAACCCCTGCATGAAACTATGCCAAAAAATAGTTCTAAACAGCAAAAAATTCTTGTAGCCGTACGTTTTTTAGCATCCGAATTTTTTTTATACAAGTTGTATTCTATTGCTAATAGAACTTTTTTTGTTCAATTAGTAGCAACACGAATCGTGTCATCTTTGGTGACCATGATCGTACGTACTTTTTGAAACATATTAAACTTTACAATTTTGGAGAAATATTTTTTGACGTTATTTTACTTCCAATTTCTAAAATCTTTTATGATTGAGAATTTTTGACGCAAATAACCCAGTTAGAGAACACAGAGTCACTAGTCACTAAGTAACTGCGCTGATAATTCTGAAACTTAAGTGTCTCCCGTTGTTACAAAACAAATAGTTTTGAATTGAACCTAAAGTAAATCCAAAGTCAATATGCTTTAAAAATTTGTTTTGAAAAATAAACCAAAAAATCATGTTTTCAAGTGAGCTTGAGAGTGATTTGCTTTTGAGATTTTCTCCCGGTTCATTAACACTTCAGAAAGCTAAC